ATTTATTATTATGTATTGATGTTGACTTTGCAATCTTAATACGGTCTTATTTATAGCTACGTCACGTAGTGTAATATATTTTGCTAACAAAAAATTATTTATTGTGTTAATGAAGCAGATACGAAGTAGCAGCGCGATACCGGTAAGCAGGACGAGTTCGTCGACGGACACGTCGAAGCCACAGCAACAGCAGCAAGTCCCTTACGCCGGACAGTCCCAGAGTAGTAAAGATCGACGCAAAGTCGTACTTCTCCGCCCAAAACCAATTCCGAGCCGTCTTCAGCAACAGCAACAGCAGCAGCAGCAGCAGCAACAATCAGACAATATTTCTACTCTGTCCCAAGACATCGAATCCCTCCAGATCAATTCGAGCGACGAGAAAACTGGATCTCCGCGGCTACCAGCTAGAGGTTATACCCCGTCGCCACCATCCACGGCACCGTTGCCCGCCAAGTTCCATGGCAACCGCGACCATTTGCTGTTGAACATACGCAGCACGCCGAATTTACCCTCGCAACCGGATCACCCACGGTTGAAGGACCTCAGGTTGCCAGTGAAGTCGCTGTTGAGGACGAAAGACTCGCCGCAGAGCAGCGAGGGCAGCATTCTCGAATTCAAGAGCAGGCCAAAGAGTTTCGTTCAAGACAATGTGGAGTCGTCGCAAGGGCGACGATTCGACAAGGAGCTGATCCTGGAGTTTAAAGGCAGGCCGAGGGAGGAGAGACAACGACCGCGAAGCTTGATTCGTGAGAGCAAACCGATCATGGAGTTCAAGGGCAGGCCCCATGAAGCCGAGAGCGATATCCTGCGACCTCGACGCGATGTCAGCCTGCTGGAATTCAAATTGCGCACCAGCAGGCGCAGAGCCGGATACTCCAGTACAGAAAGCATGGCTACGAGTAGCAGCGGCGGTAGCATGGAATCCCTTCGAAGCAGTACCAGCGAGGGTAACCGATCCACGAGCAGCTCGGAGAGCCGTCACAGCACCAGTCTGAGTTCGCACAGCTCTGACAGCGGCAGCACCAACTGCTACCATCACCATCAACAGCCGTCGATGACCGGCTTCCTGACGCACCACGCGAACAAGCTGCACATACTCTCGCCCATATCGGACAAATCGTCCCAAGAGCCTGCGTCTGAGACTTCGGATAACAACCGCAACAACAACTCGCAGAAAGCCTCGCCAGAGGAGAACGCGACAACCGAGAACAATATAACCGCGGCGAATAACACGAACACCAACACGGTGAACACGAATTCCGTGACCTCGCCGATGGACACGTCGTTCAAGAAGAGGCGGACGCCACAGAACAAGAATCTGATTAATCTGGCGTTACAATCCTCATCGTCGGGTGATGCGGAGATCCAAGGATCGGACAGCGGAATATCGATCGAGTCGCGGGCTGGGATCAAGTGCAAACCGTTCGGTTTTCACTTGTTAAAGCCACAGTTGGACAACATCAACCTCGTCGACAATGAGCCTGAGCTGTCCGATCTGCCGTTCGACATGCCGAAGCTTCGCAGGAGGCGGTTGCTGATGCAACAGGACGCGACCACGTCCGGTAGCGCGACGAGCGTCGATCTGAGGGATTTGCCATTCGATATGCCGAAATTGAGGCGAAGGCTCAGATGCATGCAGAGCACGGAATCCAGCGGGTCCCAAGCATCCTCCAGCCTCTCCGTTCGCGACGTTGAACCGCCAGCGTTATTCGGTAAGTCTATTTTCATTTCACTCGGACAAGACATCGGTGTACAACTTAAAAGCTGAAAGGCAAGGTACATTTTTCTAGTAAGGTTCACTATTGATTATCAAATTAAAATCGTTTTTAATATATGGTAAAAAAATGTTAATTGATCTAAAATTTCGGAAAAGATTCGTATGTCTTACGTTACGGTAATTTATTAAACAATTTCTTCACCTGTCGTACATGTACATAATAAAAGCGTCCATCTAAAGAATAGACTCTAAAAATGTATTAATGGGCAGTTCCACTGCAAACCGTAAAATGAAGTTTTGCTTTTTTAATCGAGCGTCTAGTCGTTAAAGCGACAAAAACCGTACTTTCGGCATCTCGGGGTAAACTAGATACTTATCAACGCTAGGGGGACAACCGTAATTTGATGCTGATCGTTATGAACCTTCCAGACAGCGGCTAATATCGTTAAGCTTCACTTAGCGCCTGCATCCCTCTCAGGAACTAAATATTTAACGTTACCAACACACGTACTTCCCTTAGATGTATGATTCCCATTTAGCTCTGTGCGATGCCATTACATTAATGTAAAAACCAAATATCCACAGCTGCTTTCGTATCCTTATAATTCTCAGCATACTTGCATAAATATCATGTCAACATGAACAGATTCTTCAGCACAAAATTGAAAATGTAGATATTGAATGGGTTCCATGACAGTGTCTCTTATATCTTAAAAGTATTACGTTTGTTATATTCATATAAGTATTTTCATTGAGATTCAAATTCTAGAACGCTTTGTCTCACTTTCTGAGTTGCGCTAATTTATTTCCGTAATTGGAATACTGGCTCATGGAACATTTCTTTACGAAGGAAGGAAGGAAGGAAGGAATGAAGTTTGAAACTCCTAATTAACGTTATGCAGTGTGTATTTCTCTGTTGAGGAACTTTCTGTTGTTCAGAGAAAGTCAGGCGATGACGCAAAGGACTCGGAAGTTTCCAGTGACAGAGTAGCGTGGATTACGCGTCACGGTGAGATGTAAATCCGGCATAGATTAACTCGATTTGTTCGGTCACGACGGACTGAGTTATGTGCTTTTCACGCCTGAACAAGCATAGATCACTGCAATGCGGCCGCATGTTCGTAACGCGAAAAGTGTGAATGTATCATCTGAATTTTGTTCACTAGGTCGAATCATTAGCAAAAATTAATTACATATCAAATTGTTTCTATTGAAAGAAGAGAAGTATTAGGAAGATTAGTATGAAGTATATCGTGTCTTATCTAAAAATTTTCTATAAGATATAGCGTATTAAAAAAATATGTATAAAATCATACAAATACTAATAGTTTTCTAATATTTTCGTCCGCGGTTTCAAGAAAATATGTTAACGTTTGCAGTAGGAAAGAATCCTGTGTGGAATTGATGAAAGGTATCAGTTAAAGTATAACACTGGCAGTTCGTAAAGCTACCAATAACTCCCCCAATACCAACCCTAATTCATTCAATCTCTTTATGTTATTACTCAGAACCCCACCGCGTCCCTGGTACACAGGTCCTCGACTGGAAATCTCGATTCTTATGATCGCAGTCAGCTGCGATGGAATCGAGGAGCCGTCACTTTTTCTCTGGTTGATGGATGTCGGGCCACTCGTAACCGTAAATTACATTTTGAACGCGAACCAGAAGGGGATAGATGAGATCGGGACCAGATTCGAAAATCTTTGCGCCTCTTTCCGAGCATCAAGGTGCCGACAATTACTTATCACGAGCTAAGCGCGCGGTGATCGATAGTAGGGTATTTGTTTCTTGTCCTGACCGATTTTATGAGTTACCACTGATGGATCGTCGGACACGTAAAAACATCAATTTTCGAAGGTATTAACTATCCTAAGAACGATCGGACGAGGGACTGAGAACGAGGCTAATGAGGGATAAAAAATACTAAGGGGTATCATGGTTTCTTAGTTCCTAATTACCACGTAGTTGTATATTGTAATTATCTTAGATTTATAATTAGACTCGAGTTAAGCGAATTCTCTTGTGTATTAAATTCAACTAATTAAAACAGTACAGGAAGTATGAAGACGGAAAATACGAATTACTAAACAAAAAATAATAAACAGTATATAAAAGCAAGGAACATAGTGTGCAAAGCATGTAAAACGATTTTTAAAGGAAATTTAAGTTCATTTAAGAATTTACTTAGCGACACAGCGTAGTGCCGCTTTAATTGGCCTTCGATCGATGCCGGCGCTCTTGTGTCGACGCCAATAACCTTTGCGGAATTATTACGTCATTTCTGTGAAGTAATTATAAAGCGGTAACGCGTTAAATGCTTACTGCGCATTAACGGACACTGCGAAGGAGGTTTTTGTGTAGGTGATGCTGTTTCAGTCTTTTTACAGTCGCTTCCGTAAAGTTCAGGGAGATTAGATAATATCTTTAATCTTCAAACAGTTAAAAAGCTTTGTAAATTTTTAGTATAATCAAACTATATTTTTT